TGTTGGTTGGGAATAAAAGGTAAATTTAACATCCGACTTTACTCTTCAACTTTTAGGTTTTAAGGCTTTTACATATCGGGCTTATTTTTAAACTTAATGCAAACTTAGTACAGTTTTTAAGTGCATACAATAAAAATTTCTTTCCAGCAGTAACTTCTTTTTTCACTTCTAATTAGCCCTAAATGACAGACATTTTCCGCAGACGTCATCTCGTCGATTAATTATTAACCTTCAGGCTGGTCTGCCGTATATCCGGAGAGGGTTTTCATTATCCCGTCGATGTATACGCGAATAGTAAAACATCCAGTCCAGTCTGTTTTCCTTCGTGTTTTCTACCTCGCAGACCCCCTTTGGTCCTTGAACGTTCTTTCTTTCAGACAGATTTCACGGTACCAGGGCGATTTCCTCGACGTTGCGAAACTCGACGCTTACCATCTCCCTTGGCAAAAAGTAAAGAAATGTTCCAATCCCTGCTCTCGACGGGCTTAAAAGCGGAGAATCTCGCCTTCAAGAAAATCTGTCGGGATGATAATCTCTTGTCTACTTATTTACCTTTACATTTCACAATAAAATAAGTCTGATAAGTTTTTTCGTGATTTTAACACTCCATTCCTGCTAGTTATCAAGTGTAAAGGGTTTTTATTAGATTATTTTTTAAAGTGATGCATTCTTTTTATAAAGTATTTTTGCACTCGACCTCCATCGTGGTTATTACGACACTTTTATTGGTTTTTGAACGCCATTTATATTTCTTTAACTTTCTTTATTAATGCAACTTGGACGTTTCAGATGATTTTCGTCTGTTAGACTCTGCTTTTCGCCGTAATCACTGTGGTTTGGATACTTAATCGGGCCCATTTTATATTTTGGACATGTTGATTTTCTCTTTTGGAGTCTTGAACGATCTTAGTTTTGGGTTTTTTTGCCTTTCCCAGTACAGAGAAAATAAATGAAGAGTGAAAATTCCAAATGTTCTTGGTGCCTTCTGTTATTTTTTTTCAGGAAAACAATAAGTAAAATTCAAAAACTTTATTGAAATGCATTTTATTGGTAATAGAAGAGTATGTTCTTCCGCAGCTAGTGCAATGAAAAACAAACTCCTTACTATGCAAAAAAATAAGAAATTGAAGACACGTTCTATGTAGAACATAGAACTCTTTGAATGAAAACTATACATAGAACATGGTAAACCTAAATAACGTATAAACATAAATTAAAGTTTTACATATTTAGAAGTTTTGATAATAGTTTTTTAGCAGTTTCTGGCAAAAAATCCAACATGGCAGAGAAATCTTTTTTCTTGCCATCCGACAAGAATGGCTTCTGAATCAATGACATACAAACTTTTTTAATATCAGGTTTAGCCCCTTTTTTTAGTACATTAATACGTTTCCACAAGTCTGTGTCATTGAATGTGGACTTATACTGGATAAAACCTGAGACATCTTTGGAAACTTTTATCATAGTAGCCTTTGTGGTGGAACATTTACTTTTAATATAGAGTCACAGGCGGTTTTAAGTTTGTTCAATGTTAAGTAGGGAGAACTGTTCCGCTGTAACTTTAGCTGATGCCACAACATTTTGTAAATATGTCGGAGTGAATCATTTGGGAACCCATTTCCTCTTTTCAGTAATGGCGAAGTCTCGATCACACGATAAAAAACTATGACCGCATATTAGAAATTTCTGAACAATCTGTTCAAAATGTCCAAATTGTACCACAAACATCATTAAAAAAATAAGGGAGGTCGGTGGCCGCAACGGTTTAGGCGTTGACAGGGCTCTATCATTGTAAGGTAAAGGACCCGGGTTCGAATCCAGCGGCCCTGCATTCGAGCCCGACATACTTACAAGTGGGCTTTTTTTTTTCAAAAACACCGGTACCCCAAGGGTTGATATGACCTCTGCTGTTGCGAACCCTCATTAAAAAAAAAATAAGGGTGCGGTTTTTATTTTGGCCTGCACAATTATCTGACCATGAAACCAGTTTATTTCTGCCGAAAATGTCATATTATTTCACTAGACGTAAATTGCAGGAACCAACTTCTGTTTCTCCAACTGGCTGATACGCCATGGCACATAGAACCTTTGGAAAAATCGTATGGCCCATACTTAGACCAGTGCCATCTATGACGAACGCAACAAACCGCAACCATATGTCACAGAGTACATATTAAGAAAAAATCTCGTTTTGAGGAAATTGGCACTTAGAACGTTTGGAATTTCCACTCTTCAAATTGTGACAAACCAGGTCCGAGAGTAAATCTCACAATTGCTGATACGCCATGGCACATAGAACCTTTGGAAAATCGTATGGCCCATACTTAGACCAGTGCCATCTATGACGAACGCAACAAACCATTTTCAAAGAAGTTTAGCACTTAGAATATTATTAGGGTTATTGGCGATGTCACATAGAACATATTAAGAAAAAATGTCAGTTTTGAGGAAATTGGCACTTAGAACGTTTGGAATTTCCACTCTTCAAATTGTGACAAACCAGGTCCGAGAGTAAATCTCACAATTGCTGATACGCCATGGCACATAGAACTTTTGGAAAAATCATATGCCCCATACTAAGACCAGTGCCATCTATGACGGACGCAACAAATCATTTGTAAAGAAGTTTAGCACTTAGAATATTATTAGGGTTATTGGCGATGTCACATAGAACATATTAAGAAAAAATGTCAGTTTTGAGGAAATTGGCACTTAGAACGTTTGGAATTTCCACTCTTCAAATTATCACAGACCAGATCCAAGAGTAAATCTCTCAATTCTATGTGATTATTATATTATCATTATCAAAGTTTTTTCTCTAATTGTCGCCATACCATAAATATTTTTTACAATTTTTTTTTCAAGCACGTTTTCATTGTTGAAGTGTTTTAATTATTACCGTCATCTGTCGTGCTGGTGGTATTCAATTATGCCATTATATGCCAACGTAAAAGCCGGTAGGTCCTCGAATAAAATTATCAGCCGATTAAAAATTTCATAAGTATTCTGATCGAACTTGATGTATTCAAGTATCAAACATAAACATGTTATGTTTTAAAGTATGTAAATCAGAAACCTGATGTATAAAGTTCGTTCTTTCCATGGTGCACGATGGATCCTTGCCCTATTAACTTTTATTCTAAAAATTGTACAATATATCCCAGCCGCCCAAAATTTGTTACAATAATGAAACGGCCCGTTATGGTGACGTGACAAATCGACAATGGGATACCGCTCCATTGTTTTACGATTGTCCGCTTCCATCCGCCGACGACCATTGTCAACGAATAGCCCAATGTCAACTGTAATAGCAGGTCGGTACGAAGGTCGCCCCGGTACGCAGGGTGTCGCTTCCGGTTTTTGACGCCGCCGGTTAAGACGTTCAACATCCCGGGCAACGATCCCAGGCCGTCCTTGGCAAAGACAATGACATGTTCCGAGTTAGCATGCTCGCGATATGACGACGACGGAATCTGCAACCGAAGACGTGAAGATTTTTATAAAAGAGCCGGCGCTTTTCTTCTTACCTCTTCAACAACAAAGGAGACAGTTATGAACAATTCATCTCTTGTTCCAGCCCCTTTTTCATTTAAACTTGGAATGAAAGTTTTAGAAAAACAACTTAAACTGTTAAACTTTTCCTAATTTTTCCCTCTCTGCTTTCCTCAAAACGCTTCTTCGCAAGTGCATTTATTTTAACGTCAATATTTAAACAATCAGCTATAATAGAACTCTTAAGATATAAACGGTTCCCAAGGCTCAAAGAATTTTAAACGATTTTCTCTTTATTACTGTGTACACTAATTTATTTACAAATATGGTCTAGTTGTTGTTTACCTGCTTTAAATAGACAAAATTTCCCCTGAAAGTCTGTTGGCGATGAATTATCGAGGCATAAGTTGCTTTAAATCCAATTTTTGGCGATTCAGGAACTTGATAAATCGTAAATTTTTTTCCATACATTGACAGACACGTAAAAGGACAAATTCAAAATACGAAACTTAGACTTCGGCAAAAGAAATTTGGTCGCTTTTCCATCGAAACTTTTACGAAGTTCCTTTATCGATTAATCGCGGTTCGATGAAAAATAGATCAAGTACGAGAATGTAGTCCACAAAAAAAGTTTATTGTCCTCCCGGCTGGCAGTTTCAAAACAAACTGAACTAAGGGACTAGGAAAGCACAATAAGCCAGAAGGCTGCAGTGCTTTGGGAACATAAGCCCTCACTTCGCAATCTCCTTTCATCAATATTTGTGTGTATCTGTGTTGCATTTAGATCTAGTACAGAATAGTATTTTACGTGTACATTATGGTTTGTCTCACAGAAATTACGTTAAAATATTTAAATTTTTAAGGATTTTCGTTCTAACAATACGATAAAATAATAGCCAATCAGAGCCATCGCGGGAATAGAATAAAACTTCGCAGTCGTTTCGTACGATTTTCCACGGTCGTTTTATGATTTCCCAGAGATCCTTGGGTATAAGAATCAGTGATTTCAAAACGATATCAAATTTTATGCCGATGCACTCGTCCTCTCAATGCCAATCGATTACGTTTCAACACGCAAAAAGAACTGCACCATCCGCTCGTTAAGTCTTCAGCGTGATGAGCGTTTTATTTCTCAGAATGGGCCCAACGTGCTCGGTTTGACGTCCAAGCAATTAGAAAAATTGAAAACAGTCATGGAAATTCTTCAGAATTGTGATACGTTGGTTTAAAGAATGAATATATGGAATTTTTTTTAATAAAACGGAGTGTTTATAAAGCAACTTTTAATAAAATCCCAATAATAAGATGTGAAAAGTAAATGATTAGATCATTATTTGCTAAAGTTTAAAAAAATTAGAAGCATTTGTCATTGCGTTATGCTATTTTCGCTGTTTAATAGTAGTGTTATTGAAATATTTTAGACGTGAATTGTCGAATTGACCGATGTTTCATTCATTAGGTTCATTAATTTAAGTAAGGCAGTTAATTAATTTAAAATCTGTTTATAGGGAGTAGGTGGAGAATTAAGGACCTCACGTACAAAATTTCGAAATATCCCAGCGCCCTGAGCAAGACGTTGGTCGACATCGAAGTGAAGAAAGCTTTCAGGGTTTGGAGCGAAGTCACTCCGCTTTCCTTCACCCGGAAAACATCAGGTAAATTTTTCATCCTTCTGTTCAGACGATGCGATTTTTCATCAATGGCCGTAGACACAGACGATCAGTCTCGATCAAATTACAGTCAACTGTCCTTGCATTTGCAGCCACCCAGGGTTTTGAGAATTTATCACAGGCTATGATATATTATTGTTGTTTTCTAATCAGTGTTTTTACCGTAGGGCCAGTAAACATAGAAGTAAGGTTTGAAAAAGGTGAACATGGCGACGGTGACCCCTTCGACGGACAAGGGGGCACCCTTGCCCACGCCTTTTTCCCGGTGTTCGGCGGCGACGCACACTTCGACGATTCTGAAAGATGGACGGTCAACACTTACAAAGGTGAGACTTGGAATTATCCACGTCTTTTACATTTCATCACGCGCTTTTTTTAATTTTTCGTAGGGACGAACCTTTTCCAAGTTGCGGTCCACGAGTTCGGACATTCCCTGGGGCTGTCGCACTCTGAGGTGAGGGCGTCTCTCATGGCGCCGTTTTACAGGGGGTACCAGCCGGACTTCGAGCTTCACCGAGATGACATCGAAGCTATACAGGTGAGTTCAGTCCGTCCTCAGTTCACCATTTGCCTAAAATTTTAAACATACACAAGCATTAGTTTCTCATCTCACCTAACAAGTCTTGTTATCTTATAACATCTTGTCTTCTTGTACTGATATGTTTAGTTGTTTTGACTCCTATCGTAATTCTTTAGACTTTAACATAAATATTTACTCTTGCAATCCTTTTCCTGTAAGGTCTTTTCTTCGACTGAGGAATCCTCATCAGTCTTATAGCAATTGATAAAAATTTTTGTTCAATATCTTTTCACTATTTTTTATTTGACTAGGGATATTTATTTACAAGTTAGTTTTCCCGTATCCCTGATTTTTTGCGGGATGTTGATGATATAATTCGCAACTTTAAAAGCACGTTCGTGCCTGTTGGCCTTTTCAGGACATACTGGCTGATATAACTCATTCGTTAGGCCATCGTAATATTCATAATTAAAGCCACCAGGGATTCCATATGGCTCCATATAATGCCATACACTTTTTCCTTTACCTCGCATAAGGCCTTAATGACACCTGTCTGTCGGAAATGCCTTTTATTTCATTGGCGAAAGCCCAGGGTTCAAGTGGTTTCAAACTGGAAAACTGTAGCGTATTTACGTAAGTGTAAAGTCAGTTCGGTCTTTGGATTCATCCCGAGGACTCTTAACTCCCGTGTCTTTATCCGTTTTTGAGCCTTCAGTATTCCAGTAGGAACTGGCCTTCAGAGGTATTCCTTTGACCCACTCTACCCTTTCTTTATGAGTGCTTGTTGGTGAAGTTATATTTTAGAGTAGTGTCATCGATTGGGATGAGTATGGCATCTGTCTGTACCTCCTCCCTCAGTTTCCATTGTTTCTTGCAGATCGTTGTCCATTTATGAACCTATGAGCCACTGCTCTGGCTTCTTCTTGGATTAGAAAATGGAGCGGTGGAAGATTTAACGACACCTATAAGGCGGCAGTTGGCATTGTGCTCTTTATTCCAGTGACAATGAGTCATGCTTGTCTTTTGTGTCATTTAATAGCCTAATCGTTTTACCTTGCAAAGTCCTCGGATACATATGTCAACATTGATCTTATGAAATAAGTATAAAGCCGTAGGGTCATTTTGGGGTTTAACCCCCAGCTTTTAGCACAAAGCCTTCTGTACCACCCCAGGCAATTTTGGCTTTTGGGTAGTTTCAATTAGATGTGGCAATGAGGTATGATTCGGATGGTCATAAGTGTAAGAAAAAAAATGCTATTGGGCTCTACTCCTTAATCTTTATGCCTGACTGTTATAATTATTTTCAACCAAACTACTCTCATTATCATACGTTTAGTGTTTTTTTCTACATTTCTCCGTCAAGTTTGACTTCCTCAACCCCTGCAACTTCAACATCTCGCACATATCAAAAATATTAATTCTATCTTTCAAATAGAGTGTCATCAAAAAGTCCTTAAATAATCATTAAATATTTATTTATACATGCGTCTTTTGCCTTTGACATCATTTTTCTGTTAATGTTCAAGAATTTACAAAAGCATGTACGCTTCATTACCGATTTTGAGTAGAGAAAATCTGGAAAAATTAGATTTTTATTCGATAGCACAATAACGTAAGCGAAATATCAGACTAGAGACTCAAAACGCATATTTTGCATTTACGACTTCCATTTACTTAACAATTAAGTTTTTTCTCATTTTCCAAGCTTATGCCTCATTCTTAATTTTGGAAAGGATCTGAACGTTTATTAAAACTCGTCGGCTTTCATTGTTAATTATTGTGAATTGTTGATTAATTAAAATAGATTTGTGTGGTGATGGGTAGCAACCTAGGCCCGATACTGGCAGACATAATGACACATCTATTAAATACAGTCATACCACAACTTCCTTTCACATTACCCTTCCTCACTTAATACGTAGGTGATATATTGACAGCAGTTCCCACAGATCAAATTCAAACTACATTAGATACATTTAATAGTTTTCACCCACGCCTACAATTTACACATGAAATCGAAAACAAAAAAAATACCATTTTTAGATACACTCGTAATAAAACAACTAGATGGCACAATAATCACAGATTGGTACCAAAAACCAAGAAACACAGATCGCTACCTCAACTTTACATCTCACCATCCTCTTCATACAATAATAAACACGGTCAAAGGGTTACTTCACAGAATGATTACCCTAAGCCATGAATCAGTTCACCACAAGAACATAAAGATATACAAACAGATCCTCCATAACAATAGAGATTACCCTAAACACATTGTTAACAGAATAATCAACAACTACAACTCTACACTAACACCATCCACTATTACTAATAATACTACATCAAATCTATCAAATACCAACAAACCAACATACATTTACGGCCCATCACATAAATTAAACACATTTCTCTCGTCCGATAACTTCAAAATAGCTTTCAAAAATTATAAAACAATCCAAACACTTTTTTCCAAAATTAAAGATCCCACACCAATAACAAATAAATCTGACGTAATCTGCAAGATCAACTGTTTAACTGTCCGGCAACTTACATCCCAATATCTGTACAAGAGAGTAAAGCAACATATCTATGATTGCAAAAAACCCAAGCAAAATCCTACAACACTCGCTACCCACCATTTTAAACACAAACACAATTTCGACTTCAAAAATCCAAAAATATTACATACAGAACAAAACAAATATAAACGTAATTTCTTAGAAATGGTTTATATCAACCCAGATAAACACAGCATCAATTACAGAACAGATACATCTAAACTTAGTCGCAGCTACGCCAATATCATTAATCAAATTCAATATAGATAACATACATATATCATTACATTACATTCCACATATCAAATATTTTTCATAGTCTAATTGTCCAATAATTTAGCTTTCCTTTTACTATTTATTCCTTTCTATATAATCCTGAAAGGATAATCTGGCCGAACCATTACCAACATTTGTTTCCTTCGTCGGCTCTTTTCACCTCAAAGAAGCCGACGCCTTATACAAAAATGTCTTCTATACCGACTTCCTTCCCCACCCCTTCAAAATCGAACGTATATAAACATAAAACAGCAAAATCTCACTGGCACTCTCGACACGACACGCAAGAATGGCACAATTACACAGAAGACAAACACTTTGAGTGAATAGAATACTTTGATTGAATATAAAAAATATATTTTGCATTGTATAAATTCACTTTTCCACATTCTAAATGTATTTGTTAAATGTAAACAATGTTTGTAAATCCCAGGCCCTGAAGATGATCTCAATAAAGATCGAAACGTTGGCACGATAAAGAAAATGTTTTTCTGAAACCTATCACACCAGACCGCATCTCACGATTTCTGAATAATTAAAATAGATGGCAATTCACCAACTTCCGTTTTTAGGAAGGACTTCCGTCAAGGTGACCGAGATGGTTCTTGTCGGAAAGGTCGGCCAAGAAAACACTTTATCAATCGGAACAAAACATAATTTAAACTTTTTCTCTTTTGATTACTAACCCGATTTAATCACCCGGAAAACAGGCGTTGTACGGCAGACCTACAAGTCATAAAGACGGCAAGGACAGCTCAGAGTCCAACCCGGCCACTACCGAAGATCCTCGGCCGATAGATCGTGCCAACGAGACCACTGTCGACAATGCTCCCGATATTTGCGACGTAGACAGCATCGACACGATGTTCAACTCGGCCGAAGGGATAACCTACGTCTTTAAAGGTGAGTGCTAACAAACTGTCTATGCCAACAACAGCGAGAACATACGGACCCGACTGCAGTATCTACTTAAACGTTTAACGTCGTCGTCCTACTATACAAAATTTAATTATACCTGACTTGGGCTATATTTATCGAATATAAAATGTTTGTGTATTAAACAATAACTCTTTTTTAAAAATATTTAATTGCAAAAAAAGAAGATAAAATCGTTAAAATTCGGTCTAAAAGGCTTTTATCTACAAGACTATTTAAAAGGCCACCACTTTCAAATTCAATATTTAATAAATAATTTTGACCAAATTTGTAAACCCAACAAACAGAAGTTGAAATTTCTTTCTTGTCCTTTGCTAAAAATTGGCAGCCATGGAATTTTTGGAATTTTCACCATCATCATGGAACAATAAAATAACCATATTTAAGATGTAAAAAATAATCCTGCATTTATGCGATGAAGGATCATTATACAGGGCAACAGACTGTACTTATGATTATCAATTTTATGCTGTGGGTTTGTTCATACTCCATAATAGTCCTGCAATTATTTTTTAATGAAAATGACAAGTAAAACAGTGTTATATTCTTGAACCAATTTATTTTTATTATCAATTGTTTTATATTTTTTTATTAAGGAGTTACAATTTTTTGTCAAGATTTTTATTTTAATCTACTGTATTTCAGGCTCTCTTTATTGGAGGCTGACCAAGACTGCGATTGCTGCCGGTTACCCAAGGTACATCGGGATGTCTTGGAAAGGACTGCCTGGCAATATTGATGCTGCTTTCACTTACAAAAATGGGAAAACTTACTTTTTCAAAGGCTCCCAATACTGGCGGTTTACTGGAAAATCCATGGATAAAGATTATCCTAAGCTCATATCTAACGGTTTCGAAGGGATACCAAATAACCTAGATGCTGCCATGGTCTGGGGAGGAAATGGAAAGATCTACTTCTACAAAGGTATTAATGCAAACCGACAGTACGGAAAAGAGTAGTCTTGAAACGAAGTCATTCGGTACATTTGCAGGATACAAATTTTGGAGATACGACCCGACTCAGAAGCCAGCGGTAAAAAATACTTACCCCAAGGCTATTTCAAACTGGGAGGGTGTTCCGGACAACATTGAAGCTGCACTGCAATACACAAATGGTTATACGTACTTTTTCAAAAATAAACAATACTATAGGTTCAATGATAATACATTTTCCGTAAGTATAAATGAATTGCGAACACCACAGTTTTCAGGTATTTCATAACTAAATGATTACAGGTCGATTCCACAAACCCTCCGTTCCCACGCCCCTCGGGCCCCTGGTGGTTCGGATGCGATGAATCCAATGCCAGATATACTGGTGAGAAACCGACTGAAGAACAAGATAGCAGAAGGCTGTGGTCGCTTAACAAGGAAGGCACAAATGATGCATTAGACGGTGGTGAGTCTGAGGACAGATTGTTAATACATCGTTAAAAATCTGTTGCTGTTTATTTTTCTTCGCTGTTTGTACAAAGATTTTTTTCTTCTAAAACTAAAATTATAATTGTTTGTTTATATTGTACATTATTGAAAAGTAAGATTTTTCTATCAACTTTAATATTTTGTATATACTGATTTTTTTTCATCATTACGCTACTTTTTATAAATTTAAAAAAAACCAAGTCTCTCCTAATGCTCAACTAATTTTGACCCCATTAATTTATTGGTCCACAGCCTTCTACTTATCTGGTAATTTAAACAAAATATTTAACACCTTTGAGCATATACAACTCACTTGCATGTGCAATTTATACACTGGTGTTTGGGAAGCTTAGAGTATATCCACAAATCGTAACTACTTACTTAACTTGCAAGTATATTTTCAATTTTTAATTTTGTTTTCAAGAAATATACTTTCAAAAATGAAGAAGACGTTATTGTGCTTATTAAAATTTCAAACACAAAATGGTTTGTAAATATACTCTTGTTTTTGCTATGGTTCCTTACTGTTAACCACACTTCTTTGTAAAGTTCCTAAATGAGACACCAACACTGTATGTACTGTTTTTCTCAAAATTATTATTGTTTAATCTTTTTATCAACTCACCTTGTATTGTATAAGTGTGTAATTCGAATCACTGTACATAAATCAGCAATTTTGTTAAATCGGTTTAATATTTCTCTTTTAACCATGTGAATCTCTTTACTATAAAATAATAAATTAAGTTTCTAATAATCTACTATTAGATTTTCTGATCCTCATAAGACATACCACATTGCTCTTAGTAGTGAGTTATACATTTGTTATAATTATGTCTGTTTATAAACACATCAAATAGAAGCATGGGTTTCAACTCACCGAAGTTGCAATTTTTCCACTGTTCTTGACTCCGCATGGTTGCACTTTCCAAAAAACAAAAATCACTGATTTTGTTTGTACCTCACAATTCTGTAAATATAAATTACTGTTTCCCTGCATCGTTCAAAGCTCTTCTGAGATGGCCCTGGTCCTGACTCAAGATTCGGCCGACTGGAAATTATCGACCATCAAAAGCATAACTCATCCAGGATCATTACTCAAAGAATCAGTGTAGCATCATCCATCTGTGTCCGCGTGCTTCTGTTTTGAGTTACCTTATTTACAATCATGTCTAGATGCATGGGAAATCTGTTTTTGTACATATTATTTCTATTATATATTTTTTTAAAAATATTTATCGTGTTAGTAAAAATTTTGTTTTTGTTTTATCGTTTATACATAATTGTTAGCAAGCAATGTGGCATGCTTTTGTGATGTGATAGTAATGAAAATTGTAAAGAGATTGAAAATATATGGTTATTTTTAATCACTTGTTTTTGTTTTTTTCTAAGCACTTTTGTAAGCATAAACTTTAGTTGTTATAGCAGTTTGTTCTAGAGGATAATGAATAAACTTATAACTCTTAATTCTTTAGTTTTTATTTCTTCAAAATTTAATACATCTTGTCTTTCCTTAAAGTCGCTATAAATTCCCACATTCGTTTTAAGTAAATTGCAGATCTCATAAAATATTTTAATTTTTACAAATAAATTCCCTAAATCATGGCATTGTTTAATGTGATAATGATTTCACTTGCTTAATTCTATATTGTTTATGTTAAATGTTTGTTGTTTGAAACTTGCTTAATTGTGAAATAAAATTTGCTTTAAAAACAACATCTAAATGTTCATTAAAACGCTCGTCACTGTTATTTCTTTTCCGTAGTCGACAGAATAAGTACATACAGCCACTTGTCAGCACAGCTTTCTTAAAGTTCATTTAGTGTTTTATTAAGTTATTTTTCTATAACACTATCTGCAATAACACCTTAATAAAAAGCTTATTATTAATACAGACATTATCATAATACAAAAATATTTTATTACATTATAAATTTCAATTTGCTTCATTTATATGAAAACTTGTCGCTTCAGCACTGTTTTAAATGAATGTCGTCATTGACCTGCCTTGTTATTAATGACTTTTAAAATTTTAAGAACAATTTTCTTATAATATAATTTATTAAAGCTTTACCACCGGCGAAGAGGGCTGAGGGAAGAACAGATTCAGAAGAAAAAGGAATGAGTTGGGCTTCAAGGAGTGTTGCTACTATGTTTATAGTACTTTGTTCTGTACTAGTCTCTCTCTGAGATAAAATAATCTGTGATCATATTATTATTGGGAAAAAAAATTATCGTTCAAGTCCCCAGGACTGAACCTCGATACTTGATACTTCAGACTTCAAAATCTGAAGGCAACTGAGCCAAGTACGGCGATCGTATTGCAAAAGATGAATATATTGTAAAACTTGTTTATCACATTAGTAAATACCAGTATTTTTTTAAAGTAAAATTAAAGATCAAAAGTATTTTTTATTGCCATATCCTATCAGCAGTAAACCGAATTATAATCACTTGCTTCGAATACGATTGTATATAGGTTTCACACTGTAGAATATTTGTATTTTTATACTATTATTATTATGTAAAGTATTATTTTTATACCTAAGATGTTTATAACAGATGAAGTGTATACATATGACTCTTAGATTTTATTTAATAAATTTATTACACCAACTCTTGGAAATACTTCTTTTAATCGATAATGTGTCCTATTTTAATCAAGTATGGTTAACAAATGTTATTCTAAAAATCAAATATGTTTTTTTCTGAAAAGAGATTGTTATTAAAATAAAAGTAAATTCTTTAATGATGCCACATTCGTAGATGAATTGCTGTATGTATTATTTATAAGCTGACAAACATCAAATGGTCATTGCTGGGCCCTTTAAATGGAAAATTCTTCTTTTTTTCTTTCGCACATCTTTGTCACAGACTCTCACATTTTGTCTCCTGTTTTCTTAGCTGGCTAACCTCTCGAAGGTACCTCATGTTGTCAAATTGCTACTAAAAGAAACACCCAAACACATAACACAATGTTCACACTTACCACCTCGTGGAAACAGCCCTGCCTCCCAGCTGAAACGTCTGGAATGTGCATAGAGGGATACCCCGATGAAGAGCCAGCAGAAACCGCCCCCTGATGAACTGCTGTAATTTTATAAAATCATTCCAGATGGAGGTGGAAAATCACATTAAAAAAATTATAATATAAATGCAAAACTTGCATCAAATTCATCTCTTCTTCAGGAAAAAAACGCTCTATTACACAAGACAATAATATTTTGGTAAAGCTATAAAATATTTGCTCTGTTGTAATGTCATTAAATTCTAGAAATTCTTAACAGAGTGTTACAAAATTACATAATTCTTGTATAAAGAGTGAAACTGCGCTGTGACCTTCGAGTGATTTTCATTACAAACGTGATATTTGATCAAATGCAATTAGAATGTCAAAACCCAATAAACAATAGATATTTTGAAAACAGCAATGCTTTTGACAAAATTTACATTTGACAGAAAATCATGTCATTAAGTGCTAACCTGTAAAACAAAATTGTTGCTGTGCTATGTAAACATTTTTAAAACCTTTACACAATTTACATGTTCTTAATGACAATAACAACAAATAAAAATATATAAATTGGATGAACTTATGTAAATTTCATTCAACACCTTGATATTTACAAATTTTTTAAAATGATTTTCTTTTTCTACTTGCTTCTTTATCATAACAGTTTTGTATCTACATTAAATACTAATTTTCTCAAGCAGTCTAAATTTATACTAAAATGCTAGAAATAAAAACCTTGATAACATTAAATAAACAGATGCACAGATAAAAAAAAAGGATTATAAATTTAGAAAAAAATTGTGAGACAAAACGTTCAAAATCAATTTTACGACGATTTTATCAATTTAAATTTATTATAAAATACATACCTTTTTTAGATACAGTCTAGATTATGGGTAAATGGAAATAGCTTCCGTCCAAAATCAAACATTCCAGAGCATGAGGACCTGAAAGCTCTTAAAGAAAGCAGTTCTATTTTCCTTTTTTTTAATAAAAAGTTATTTGTCTTAAAATGAAATTTATTTCTGCAGGAATGATTTAATATTGAAACGTATCCCTTTTTGGTTGGTGTTTAAATTTTATTTTAATAAGAAAAAATAGGAATAAATGTCGATATTTTGTCTCAATTCGTCGTATGTTGTACAAAAATATTGCGAAAAAGTTGCAAATGTCCTACAATTATTATCAAAGTTTGAACGTGACAGGATTGAGAAAATGAAAGTTAGAGGTTTGAAAATCTTTTTGTACTAAGTTTTGCGAAGGATATACGTACCTATAGTTAGTTCTATAAACGGTAAAATCCATGCCAGGAAAATTAAAAACCTATGGGATGAAGAAAAACTCGTGGGCAAAATAAAGGTGAGTTGTCTTTTTAAGAGAAAATGGAATGTCGAGTAGGTAAAGTCGTACAGTTTTTAGAAAATCGACGTCGAAAACTATTGAATCAAAGCAATTATATTCAGCGTGTAATCAGAGTAAATAAACCATATAACATTTAGCAAGGCTGAGTTATACCAAACTACAAGACCGAAGGGAATTGAAGGTTTGCCTACCTGATAAAAAAAATTCTTCCGTCCTTCTTAAATATCTTTTCTTAGCTCCTGTGTGTTTATTTTAGTTCTAATAGGGGGTTGACAAGAAAAAAAGTGTGAATTTGTCGAACGTTTCGCCTTCACTCGTCGACCCAGCGTGTATCCTTATTTTTCGGATGTTTTTTATTATATTTTCTGTCTTGAAAAGGTCGAATGTAGTTGAAATGATTGTGGAAATCGGAGACAAGTGCGGATCGGCCGCCTTGGGTTGAATGAAGGGTGTAAAGGCGGTGGAAAGCCGAAGTGGGGGCGGGAGGAGGTGCAGTGCGTGCACTCTGCACATCTGGGGCCGTAGAGAAGAGTGTGCTACATGGGCCGAGCCGGGGTCGATACTTGCGCATTGGATCCGGGCGCAACGTACTCCGCCCGATACACATCGAGGAAGCATATCGATACGGAATCTCCCCCGATACGAGAAGAGCCTCGTGCCGATCCAGCTCCGAATTTCCGGGTCTCCGGGAGTTCCTGCTGGGGGTCGACCCTAAAGGGGTTTGGGAGCGCTGCCGCTTTCGGATCCTCGTCTCTCTCGGCCCGGCCGGTTCCGGGCCTTCGAACCCTGCGTCGGGGCGGTCCCGTCTATTTCGAGTTCAGTTTGAACGGGGGTGGATATCGTGGGGAAAGCAGCCGGTGGGAAGGTAATATCGAGTAGTCGGGTCGATAGTCGGGGCTGTGGAGGATCGTGTCAGAGTCGGCCATGCCCAAGCATGCACTTTCGGTGCCAGTCACACGGCCCCAAACTACAAACTAGCTTTATACCAAGCACCAGGTAAAGCTGTGAGTGGTGTGTCTGTAGTCCCGCCCTGTGTGTGTGTGCCTGTGATATGGGTGTTGTGAAGTGAAGTTACATCGACGGCTCTACACGGAGGAGAAGCAGCGATAACAAGGTAAGCCCCCACCCCACCCCCGCAAAACCGTAGCCTATTTTCGCCTTTCTATCCGCACCCCGTTTTTCAACCCCCGGCAAAGAAATCAAAACGAGCCGCTCCGACCCCTGTCCGCACTGGGCCCGTTCCCGTTTTTAAGGGACTCGCCCCGCGGGAGGAGACCGGATCGCCCTTCTGCCCAGCGGAGGAAATTACCCGGGGAACCTCTTACCGTCGAGGCTCTTCTCCCTCATCGCCACGGGATCCTGAGGCTTCTGTCCGTCCGCCGGGCCGAGGACAGGTGGACGACCTCCGCTCCAGACCTCTCACCTCCCCGGTTATCTTGAGGCCGAATCCTGCAACGGCCCCGAATCCACCTCAGACGTTTCTCCACACGTCTGCGCTAAAATACAGTTTATCTATCTGTTTTTCTATTCTAAAACGGATTAAATATTTAAATTTATACTACCACCCAAATTTAACACCCCTACAAACCCCCCTGGAGATTATTTCTCGAGATGTTATTTGTAACTGTCCAGTTTTTCATAACAATAACATTTTTTAAACAGCTCCCTCCCTCTTAAATTATTTCAAAAGATACAGTTTTTCAAGGAATGTATGAAGCTAAATAAAACGTTTTGGAAGTAAATGGCACGTTAAAATTTAAAATATACTGATTTCTCATGTGATCGTTTAACACATTTATGTGAGCTTCTAAATTGTAAAAATTTGAAGGTAAAAATTAAAATGTTTATATTTTTCATCAAACCTAAACTGATTTGAATGTATGGTTAACCGGTTCGTTTTTGCCATTAAGAAAACACGAATCTTTGTCCAGTTTCTGGTCGTTTTATTTCTTTTTCTTAGAATCTCGAGTTTTTATTTGTTTTAAAATATAATACATAGTTTTAATGCGGAGAACAAACAGATTCGCTAAAGAATTAAAATCTCGAATCGTTTATCCATGATTCTCCTATTACCCTAATCAACAGACAGATTTTTAAAAATATTTTTTTACTAGTCTAATAGTTTAATAGTCTTAAATAACTTAGTAGTTGAAGTTGAAGAGTGATTTTGAGTCTCTCCTTAGCTGTTACTGCCCAAGTAACCTTACTTCGACATGACCATTTTGGTCCATCTCTGAGGATTTCTTAATATTCCATGGAACGGCTTTGTCCGTTTTCTACCGAAAATTGATCGCAAAATTTGCAAACCGAACTGTCATTACGACAGCGACCGTTTCGGTTGCATAACGCTGGAAATCAAAAAACGGCGTATTTACAGACCAGGGGTTACACAACTACTTTTACTCCATCCAAACCCAGGTCTGAACGCGATTCTACAACTGAAAGCAAAAATCCTCCCAAAAAAAGGCCAAAATATATTCACGTGTTCGAAATATCGAAGATCCACATATCCTCAGAAACAGATATTCTTCTCTTAAGCATAAATATTAAGTTGAGCATTTGAAGCTTTAAACCCTTAATTTTATACCCTTAAGTAATCTCATTAAATAGGCTTACCATAAATCCGTTTTCTTCCAAACCCACGAGGTTTATAATTAACCTTTGAGTATGACAAATAAAGTGCATAGAAAAAACAATTACACTATCATTCAAGCACACAATTATGAAGATATTAAGTTCATAACGATAAGCCATGACCAGCAAATAAAATATTTTGGAACTAAATTACATATCTGATCGCAAATGGCTATACTTTGGCCCGGCTTGATCACAATTGCCAGACGTTTATGGCAGCTATGTCATAATCACTGATATGAAATTCTAATGAATTGCCAACAGTTTTATTGCAAAAAATGAAAATTTATCCTCGCCCGCCGTTTTCATTTACATTAATTCAACGGCGTCCAAAGCATTTATACAAAAGAGTTTCCCATGCCAAGGTCAGGCTTTGGGTGAGGAAACCATAATCTCACTTTGAAATAATCTAATTTATTTTTCTTATTGTTTAATTGTTTATACTGACTGGGTTAATGACATTCCTAATAAAAGCTATTTGTTGAAATTAAAGTTAATATCAATTAGTGTTTTTTTTGTACTGGTAAATTTTTCATTTTTGTTTAAACCTGCACCAATGACGCAGATTTTGACTTTTTTTAAATATTAAACATGACTTTATGGGTTAACAATTTGTGGGCTCAATCAAGGAGGATAAAAAACAGATGAATAAATGTACTTCGATGGTTAGTTAAAATTCGATAAAATTTAATTTTAATGCGAGGATAAAATTTTGTTTGTTATAAACTCATAAATGTAATGATTTGTTTAGACAACCAATGTTTCGTTCACTTTTCCAAATCAACCAAGACTTTAATTTGTACCTAATATTAATACAACTTTTGAGCCGTCGAGAAAACAGCCCAACAATAAAAGAAAGAGAAGAAATAAATTATTAAAGTATATTTGAACAATAGAAATCAGTATATCTTTAAATATTTAAAAATTGTCCTAGATTAGATATAAAATGAAGTATTTCGGTAAGTGTGCGAGTTTTAATTTTTCTGTTTTAAGTGTGTTTTTGTTAGCAACTTGTTTCAAAGCAATTTTATAGGTTGAAAGTAATAAGATGATATGGTACTTTTTCGATATTGAAGGTCCTCAGAACATTTGCTATTATGCTTTTTATTTTTGAAAAGAGGGAAGGGGCGGGGTGAACGCGGAAAAAAATAGGCTTCCTATAATAAATAGAAACCGCGAAAGCCCCGAGATCTAAACAGCCGTTTATCAAACGGCAATCTAAACAAACATTGACGAGCTTGTAAAACGGATTTTCAAATATTTAAAATCGGATCGCGTGTCCTTCTCCGGGGGCGGATAACGGCCTGTACATCACGGGGAGTTACGGCCCCCGAGGTGCAGTCCTTTGTGGGGGCCCGCGAATAAAATACAAGTGGGGTCCTGTCTATTTTTATCGTGACGGGCATAAAAACCGGTCCGATTCGGAAGAATGTTGACCTCGCACGTGGGCTTCATTTGTGCGTAAAATCGGCTTCAATATCTTCAATCCGCTATAAATTCAGATAGAAAGAAAGCGGCCCCGGCTTTCCGAAGACGCCCGCTTCAGGATGCGGATCAATCAATTATCGGCGATTCCGACCGGTCGCATCTTCCCAAATGACCTTTCTCGCTAATGAAGATTGTGTGAATGTGTTGTGTGTTTGTGCTTCCCAAAAATAGTTTTAATTTGTACAACCACTTTTGTGGGATAAGCCGTACGCATGAGATTGGCATGGTATCAGGTAAACCTTCACAGAACGATCGTCTCATTTCAAAATAACCTACCAAGCACGCTATAAAAGTTCTCATGAAGGAAGAGACGAAATTATAAGCACTGTCCTAAATATTTGTAAACTTTGTTGCTTGAAAACATGATAATTATTATACATATCGAAAAATATCTCTTAACTTCCAAACAAGATCTTTTGTGGAAAATCTAATTGAACAGTCTGAAAGATAATTAGTTAATACATAGGTAGAAAGAGCGTTCATGTTTTAAGGGGAGGTTAATAAAAAGCGATACGGCATCGCTCATCCCTCTACTTGCACCACCTGTTAGAGCTTGATAAAGAGAGTGAAGGTCGTGCCTGGTATCATCAGCTCGGATGCGTGCGGATGTTCTTAATTTTAACTGTTTCTTTTGAATATTTATTTAAATATTGATGGGTTATGTGCGACAGGTATCAGCAGAAATGCCGGTGTCGCGGGGTGGGCTAGAAGCGGGTGGTAAACTAACGGCAGTCCGGGCTGGACCATGCTATATAGTCGTCTCCTCGCCCCGTGGTTGCTATGGCTTGCCCTCATGCTGACAGAGACAGAGCCCACTGCCGTTAGGGAGACCACCCCCAGACAGGACAACAGCACCGAGTGCCTTGGACTCTGCGACTCGACTGCCCAGAGGATATGCGGCAGCAGAATGACTGGATGGGAAGAAGTGCGTTCGGCACACTGCGGGAGGAGGATAGTTGACAGCATCCCGTCCCTTCCAGCCGACCTAACCACCTGCTTAGCCGCCTTAAGGCACCTGATACACCTCGACGCGGAGGCCTACCACCTTTCTCGCAACTTCCTGGCCATCCTCAGCCGGTTCGACTGCCCCCAGCACTACTCCGTCAAGTTCAATTGTCAGCAATGTCAGGTTAGTCCGTTCTACATCCAATTTACATTCTTTACACACTGGACTCTCTCCAAATTATCGTAACTCAATTAGCCGCTTTATACGACTCTCCGTATAAATTAAATTTACAACCTCTGAAAAAACTATTCTAGTCCCTCCTGACGTTCATATTTCAAAAGTAACAACCTCTTTTCTGGCACCGTACAACTTCCCAAGCAATTAAATCTCATTCTCGGGCCCGTTAATATCACTTAAGACTGCGTCTCCTTCACGACCATTTATTTTTATGATCTTGAGGAGAAAAGAATTGATTTAAACCAAGTACCACGGGCAAAAAACTCTTAAATAAACTGTATGTAGTGAATCGTAACTGCAAATTTCCACCATCTGTCCTCGTGGTCTCATCCTCCTCCATTTATGTTTCGACTAAACTAAGCACCCTCTGAACCCTATAAAATTAATTTGCAAGATTCAAATATTTGTCTTCTATACTGAAGATAAACAAGGTAAAATCATCAACCCACAGTTACAACGACTCTAACAATACTTGCAATTGATTTACGACAATAAGATAATGAAATGGAATTTTTTCTATATTTTAATTTTACTTAAGATCTCGCCTTCTATAAATAATTTATTTTTATACACAAATTTACATAAACTAATAATCCTCAAACATAAAATACATACATCATAGACAATTTAATTGTAAGGTTATAAATTTATTAACTGTACTTTGCAGATGAATGAAGGAAAATAGTACGATGTTGAATAAGAACGAAATTCGTTATTTACATACAGTTTTACATATTTTTATATTTTTTGTATTAATTTATGAAGTAGGCTCCATTATTCATCTTCTTGCCCTCAGATTTTGAACATTTAAACTGTAAAGCAAAAATTCGTTGTAATAACTAATAAAAATCAGTTCGAACATTCAAACAACCGATCGTACTGGGGGGACTTTCCAGAATGCCATAAATCCCGGACAATTGATTAAAAAATGAAATTTTCTGCGACAATTGCTCTTAATCAATAAACTCACCCCCCCCATTCAATGGCGTGCATCCGATTAGATAACTTATAATTGAAATTTTCCACTAGACCCTTATCTGGCAATAAGTAATAAACCATACACAACCACGCCCTTATGAAGAAAAAAGATACACCGATTGAGTTTATGTGCTCGAGAACCCTGATGACAGAGAATGACAAAGAATTAATTTTATTAATCGACCGTTAACTTACAGACGAGGTCGGTTGGCCTTTCAGGCTAATCAGTGGAAGTAAGGTTAAAAATTTAGATAGGAGGATTATTTGTGATTGCAAAGCATAGCGGTAAAAATAATAGATTCGTACTAGCTTATTAAACTTCAAAGTGTACTCTCGTTTACGCAATTTTATACCTGAAACAACCGGTTGTGTAAAATTTGCGATTCTCGAAAAAAAAAAAAATTCACGAATGCCGTACTATCATAGATAATCTATTGATCATTCATAAACTAGATAATCCGTTAACAAATTCTAAATATATAAAACGATAAATCCTCTTGAGTTTCGAAGCATACCGAAAACCTATTTTGTTGTTTACGATATGCTGTTTACTCTCTTTGAACTGTAGTAACGAAATCATAAGATCTGAGGTTCAAAAGCCCATCCCTTGTCGATTAGAATTTACTCTGTTCCCCCTTGATTTTATTACGGCTATCAAACCTCAAGCGTTTGTTGCTATATTTTACCAGAGGCACTATCAATTATTGCTATCCTTACTGGCCATTAAGGTCTTAAGGTAAAATTGACCTTGATCTAGTTTTTCCAACCGAAAAAAGGAAACTCAGAAGCATATTTAATTTGTAAAGTAGGCCAGGGTGCATTTAAATAATAAAAATCATTATAAATAAACACTGAATTACTCAAATTAATTGCGCTGACCAATTCATGCCTATATTTCCAAGTAGATTTAAAATTATTTAAAAAGAAGAATTTTTAAAACCATTGAAATATTCTATCACGTCATCTGTGGACAATCTTTTTTTTTAATAAGCCACATAAAATTCATTTAGAATAGGGCAGACACCCAAAAAATGGTACAGATCCTCAATTGCTCCCATGTTATAGAGCACGGAGATGATGCGAATATATATAAATATATGTTCGTTGGTTCATATGTTGTTCGGCTACTCGTGTTACAAACTTTGCACCATTCTAAATTCAAAATGGAACCAAAAAGTCCTAATTAAATATGATCCGAATCTCAGCAGTTTCGGAGTTATTCCACTTTTTCTGATTTTTTAAGATTTCACGACTTTGCTTCAAATAAACAATGTTAGACTAAAACTAAAAACCATGATAACTAAAATGTTTTGAACAAATCCGTTGATACCATTGAAACCTACGTTAAATTTCCAATAAGATGTGAACAATACTAAACTTGTAAACGATGTTGAAATTAGCGTTTTAGTAGCAAAAACTATGAAGAATAATTATTTTTTCAAAGTTGAAAAACTTACAATGGTGATTTGAACCTATTATTTCCAAACCTAGAGACTAGCAAATTTCAGAAAACGTACTCCATTTAATATCCTTTTTAGTGGTTAATTTCTTTTTTAATCAATTTTTTCAAAGGTGAAGAAATTGATGGATGAAAGGAAAAAAACGTGGCTGACAGATTGGTAGGGTGGAAAATTAAAAAAAAAAGAATTTTGAATGAATTTATTAAACGTTTTTTAATTTGGGTTCGAAACCGAAATAGTGCAAGTGTTTTCTTATTTACCAGCACGACTGCAACCTTACAAAATCAGAAAAAATGGAATAACTCCGAAGCTGCTGAGGTACGGACCACAGTTAATTAGGATTTTTTGGGTCCATTTTGAATTTAGAATCCTGGCAAAGTTTATAACACGAGTAGTCGAACACCCTGTATACAGGGTGTCCTTTTTAGAGGGCCCGGCTGAATTTCTCTTCAACCAATGACGCTATAAAAAAAGTGTTTAGTTGTTGAAGTCTAGTTTCACATTTTTACCTTTGTTTGGAAAAAAATAATAGTTTCCCTTAGGCCAGTTCAGATTCAAAATTTCAAATACAACTCTCTAAATGCTGACACATCATTTTAAAGGAATTGTTACCCTGAAAACAATGGTGCAACGGATTTTAAATTGGTCAAAAAACGAGAAAGGTATGGCAAAATGTTTAAAAAAAATTAATTTGTTACTTTCGTTTATCCTAAATACAGGGTGTTATGATACTCGTGTTACCAACTTTGCCAGTAGATTCTACATTCAAAATGGAACCAAAAAGTCCTAATTAACTATGATCCGAATATCTGCAATTTCGGAGTTATTCCACTTTTTCTGGTTTTTTAGGATTTCACGACCTTGCTTCAAATAATGATAAATCCAAAACTAATAGGGTTTGGACAAATCCGTTGATACCATTGAAAACTACGTTGAATTTCCAATAAGATGTGATCAATACTAAACTTGTAAACGTTGGTGAAATTAGCGTTTTAGTAGCAAGAACTTTGAAGAATAATTTTGTTTTTTCAAAGTTGAAAAACCTACTATGGTGATTTTAAACTACTATATCAAAACCTGGAGACCAGCAAATTTCAGAAAACGTACATTTGATATGCTTTTTAGTGGTTTTGTTTTTAATTACTTTTTTCAAAGATGAAGAAATTGATCAAGGAAAGGAAAAAAAGCCGTTGCTGACGGATTGGTAAGGTGGACATTTTTTTTGTTTGTTTCCCCCGCCTTACCAATCCTTCAGCCACGGTTTTTTCCTTTCCTCCATCAATTTCTTCATCTTTGAAAAAAGTAATTAAAAAAGAAATTACACCACTAAAAAAGATATTAAATGGAATACGTTTTCTGAAATTTCCTGGTCTCTTGGTTTGGAAATAGTAGTTAAGAATCACCATAGTAAGTTTTTCAACTATGAAAAAAATTATTTTTCAAAGTTCTCGCAACTAAAACGCTTATTTCTTCAAAGTTTACAAGTTCAGAATTGATCACATCTTACTGGAAATTTAACGTAGTTTCCAATGGTGTCTACAGATTTCTACAAAACCTTTTAGTTTTGGAGTGATCATTGTTTATTTGAAGCAAAGTCGTGATATATTAAAAAATCAGAAAAAGTAGAATCACTCCGAAACGGTTGAGATTCGGACCATAGGTAATAAGGACTTTTTGGTTCCGTTTTGACTGTAGAATCTACTGGCAAAGTATGAAACACGAGTAGCCGAATGCTCTAAACTTTGGTTTGCTGTTTTTGGATTTTTTAAATTTATATTTTTGTATTTTTTTCGTGAAATTTTATTCTTTTGATAATCATGTATTTATGATTGTTTTTAATTTAATCTCTTTCAAACTTAAATAATAATGTGTGAGAGGTTATAATTTAAAAACACGTTATGAATATGAAATGAATTCACAAGTTTCAGTATGAACAGAGAAAAGAAAATTTATGATTTTTTAAAAAATTTATTTTAATTACAATCAAACTATACAAATTTAATCAGTAAAGATAAAATCAATATATTGTTGGATTTAAAGTGGTTCTTTATTCCTTTTCATAGATTAGAGGGGGAAAATAGGGAAAATAGAACAGTGGTTGACCGTACGGAACACAAAAGCGGTCTGCCTACCGAGGCAGTGGATTTTTAAGTGGCCATTAACTTGCTTTGTTTACTTCCGATCCTCCTGGAAACAGATTAACCCGGTTACCAAAGAGTTAACATGAGAAGGGCCATAAACATGAATTTACTGACCTCCTTGTTGATCCTAACCGGCGTCACGTTTTATCTATCAAAGCGGTTCGGTACAAGTGAATTCGACCCTTAGAAGACTCCTGGGCTAAAGCCAAACCCCTTTGAAAAGCCAAATGGAGGATGTTGTGTTTCCTGTATAACTGGTTGTATGAAGTTGATCGGTCTTGTTTTTAAAAACGGCCTCGATTCTCTGAAAGAAGAGAAACCTTTCAAGAAAGATTCGAAAATTTAAAAAAACCTAGGTTGATAAAAGTACTCAACAATACAAACATCCGCAACAGCTGTTCTGGGAGATTTATTTGACCCAAAATTCATATATATTTTTAATTTATATATATAAAACATTTAAACTACTTGAAACCTCTATTTTTTCAAAAATAAAAACAGATCCTCATCAATCAATCCATCTACACTCACCCTCCGTGCCTCATATTTCATTTTAAACCCCGTCAACTCCAATAGAAGAATAAACGATGCCATTTTTTTAATGGTGTCGGTTTTTTCTTTAATAATGTCAAATAAGCGACATTAATTTTCAGGATTTCTTGAGTGAGTTTTGAAACCAAAAAACGAGTTTCAACTATTGTCGTTTTTAATGCAACAATAAAATAGAAATTGGAATAATTGCTCAAACAAAGCCTAAAAAATGAATGTATTAAGAGAAAAGGTATGACTATATAACTATAATATTGTAAAAAACAAAAAAAAACGATAAAAACAGGTAACCACTCATGAATAAGCTCAGACAAAAATAAGATGAATATAAAAAAGTATGGATGGAAAAGTTTATAAAAATGGGAACAAAACAAAAAATAATAATAAAAAGGATAGATCTATGTCATAAAATAGATAACCCCTCGCGAAAAATCTCAATCAAAAAATAATGTATGACAAGCTCATAAAGAAAGGAACAAAACAATCAGTATAAAAAATTAATGTAATAAAACAGGTAACTACACATGAATATTCATAAACAAAAACAAAAAATGAATACAAATATAAAAGATAAAATGTTTGACTGGATAACTACAAGTTTATAAAAAAAAGGAACGAAAAAATAAGGATACAAGATATATGTTAGCAAACTGGTAACTCAAGAAATAATTTCAAACAAAAAAAATGAATATTAAAAAAAGTATGATTAGACATGCTTATAAAAAAGGGAACAAAACCAAAATAATAATAAAAAGGATAGAAGATCTATGTCATAAAATAGATAACCCCTCGCGAAAAATCTCAATTAAAAAATAATATAAAACAAAGTTTGACAAGTTTATCAAAAAAGGAACAAAATAATAAAGATAAAAGATTTATGTAATAAAACAGGTAACTACTCACGAATGATCTTACTTAAAAACAAAATATGAATAGAAATAAAAAAGGTAAAAAGTTTGACCGGATAACTACAAGTTTATAAAATAAGGAACGAAAAAATAAAGATACAAGATATATGTTACAAAACATGTAATTCACGAGTAATTTCAAACAAAAAATGAATATTTAAAAAAGTATGATTAGACATGTTTTTAAAAAAGGGAACAAAAGAAAAATAATAAGTACTCTCAACACGACACGCAAGGATGGCACAATTACACAGAAGACAAACACTTTGAGCCCTGAAGATGATCTCAATAAAAGATCGAAACGTTGGCACGATAAAGAAAATGTTTTTCTGAAACCTACATCACACCCGACCGCATCTCACGATATCTGAATAACTATCGATTAACGGTCACTAATCTCTACACAAAAATAATAAGGATGAAAGTTTTCACAAAACAGGTAACCACTCACACATTTTCTCAAACAAAAACAAGATGAATTTAAAAAAGGACGGCTAGAAAAGTTTATATGAAAGGGAACAAAACAAAAATAATAATATAAAGGATAGAAGATATATGTCATAAAAGAGAAAACCCCTCACGAAAAATCTCAATAAAAATAATATAAAACAAAGTATGACAAGCTTACAAAAAAAGGAACAAAATAATAAGGATAAAAGATTTATGTAATGAAACAAGTAGCTACTCACGAATAATCCTTCACATAAATAAAAAATGAACAGAAATAAAAAAGGTAAAGTTTGATTGGATAACTACATTTGTATTAAAAAAATGGTAAAAAAAATAAGGAATCAAGACTTGTTCCAAAACAGCTGACTCACGAATGATTTGAAACAAAAAATGAATATTAAAAAAGTATGATAAAACAACTATATAAAAAAAGGGAACAAAACCAAAACAAATAATAAGAATGAAAGATTTTTCATAAAACAGGTAACCACTCACAAATTATCTCAAACAAAAAATTAACATAAATAATAAAAGTAAAAAGTATGACTGGATAACTACAACTTTATAAGTAAGGGTACAAAATAAAAATAGTAATAAAATTATAATAAAGCTAAAAGATGCATGTCATAAAAAAAAGGTATTCCTCACGAATGGTGTCAATAACAAGTTCAACTTCAACGTAAACAAACACTTTTGATTGGCTATACATAAAAAGCAAGACAATCCAAAACCCGAGATGAGCAGAAATGACCAAACAGCTTGATATTATTACTATCAAATGACCTAGATGACTGAAAGAAAAGGTGAAAATTATAAGTATAAAAATTCGAAAAATTAATCTTGCAGCCAAATTGCATAGGCCATTTAATAATAGCCATAAAAATCTACGTACTTACTAACTAAACAGCTTACGGAATTGTACAAAACTACTTCAGTTCACAAACCTGGTACATTAAAAACCGTGAAGACTATTATGTGTATAAAGCGACAAAATACTTACCCAGAAATGATTCTGATGATCGATTATATTATCTACAAGATGATGGATTAACTTTTTTTGGCCACGGACAAAATCGAAAATATGCGGACCTTACGATGACCGATAAAGACCTACAATCGCAGATGAAAATTGCGTTAAAAGTTTAAAAAATGTAAATAATATTTTGGTTTTGAATATACAACAATAGAGATAAATTTTTTAACCCATTTACGTTTTAGTGGTCAATTGACCAAGTTATTGGGTTGTCCGGAAAATAATGCAGGATTTTGGTATTAAACAAAAAAAAAGAAACTAGTTACTTTAAAGCAATGTTCTTTAATCAAAATAATTCTCCCAACGTGTTGGTAACTTATTAATTCCGTCTGAGTAGAATTCAGAATTTTTAGAATTGATAAAGTCAATAAATGCATTTTCCAGTTCCGTTTGATTTTTGAATATTATGTGTTGTAAGTAGTGGTCCAGGTGTCTAAAAAAATGGTAGTCAGTAGGCGAGAGGTCCGGAGAGTAGGGTGGGTGAGGCAAAGTTTCATAGCCAAGCTCCAATAATTTTTGTGACGTTACACGTGACACATGTGGTCGAGCGTTGTCATGCAACAAAATGGGCCCTTTCCGATTGACCAAAGAGGGCTTCATTACTGCCAATTTCTGATGCATGGTATTAATTTGGTTACAGTATGATTCAGCATTGATGGTTTCGCCAGGATTTAAGAAGCTGTAGTGTATTAAACCAAATGAAGCCCACCATACCGTAACCATTACCTTTTTTTGATGAGTTGGGGGCTTTGGAAAATGTATTGGAGCTTCTCCTTTGTCGAGCCACTGTCCAGAACGTCTAGTGTTATCGTAGAGAATCCACTTTTCGTCACATGTAACAATTCTGGCCAGAAATGGGTCATTTTTGTTTCGACAAAGAAGTGATGCACAAACATCAAAGCGCTGATTTTTTTGGCGATCGTTTAATGAGTGTGGAACCCAATTTTCGAGTTTTTTCACTTTTCCAATCGCCTTGAGGTGGTCAGCGACGGTCGTTTTACTGACTTTGAGTTGCTCTGCAAGTTCTCGAACAGTTGTTTTGGGGTTTTCTTCCACCACTGATCGCAGAACATCATCATTAAGAGAGGAAGGCCTTCCACGACCTTCTTCATCTTCAAGGCTGAAATCTCCCTCCCGAAATTTTTTAAACCACCTTTGCACAGTGCACTCATTAACACAACCCTCGCCCCAGACTTGGTTAATGTTTCTAGCCGTTTGGGCTCCGCTTCGGCCGAGTTTAAACTCGTAAAAGAAAATCGTACGAAATTCTCGCTTTGACATTATAAGGATGACTGAATTATTTCCAAGTAGCGGAATGCTACAGAGGTAAACAAACAATATCATTTGGAAGAGGATTAATAAGTGTTGACATTCATACAAATGAGTAATCCTGTAAACGTAAACAGAATATTTTATATAGATTTTTTTTAATGAAAACTTAAAATCCTGCATTATTTTCCGGACAACCCAATACTTCTTACAATTAATTACTCTTTCTATGTAAGGTCTCGGTTGAGATAAAAAAGTCAGTTTCACGAGCGGGACTCGAACCTACAACCTTCGGGTAGATAAGCTAATCTACCACTTGCGCTATCGTGTCTTCGATCCTCTCGGTCACCAACTTTCCATCTCAGCCTACCTAAGAAGTATCACTTCACTAAAACAGCTCCCCGTTGTCACTTCATAAGTCGCTCAAAATCCAACATTGATTATAGGACATTTTAAAAATGGCAAAAAAGAGGGAAAATTCGAACGGTTGTAGGTTGAGATGGAAAGTTGGTGTCCGAGAGGATCGAAGTCCCGATAGCTCAAGTGGTATAGTAGCGACGTATTTAGCCGAAGGTCGTCGGTTCGAATCCCGCTCGTGACACTGACTTTTTATCTCAACCGAGACCTTATAAAAAGATTAATTAATTGAAAAACGTTATTCGGTCCTACAGACATATACAGACACATAGCCTAGTACATATGATTAAAACGACGGAAATTACATATGAAGATTGAGTATAGTATAAAAATTAGTGAAATTCATCTTCCAAAAAATAAAAATAACTTATGCCTTTTACACAACATTTTTTTTAAACGTACCCTTCATCATCAATACTGCAAAATAGCTTTAATATCGTACGGTTTGGCAGTCACTTAAGTCAGTCAGAGTAATATGTTAGACGTGACAACACAAGACAAAATATGCAGCCCTGAGATGACCAAACATTTTTGTTGTTGTCTACAATTACATATGAAAATTGAGCAAAACTTTCAATAAAGAAAGTAGGTAATTCATAGAACAGGATGAAAATAAGTAGGTGTTGAAATGGGTGGCCAACAAAAGCGTGTTCTTTTTTAGTGGTAAATCCTGTGCACAGGATTATCAATTATTAATTAACTAACGAATTTAGTATTTAAATAAAATACTTACATATTAATTACACCTGATATGTTAATTCTCGGTTATATTCAAGCACTGTGTGAATTAGACATTTTATTATAGTATAGAATTTATGGTTTGGGTATTTGGTAACGCGGGACACGCTTTGTTTGGTATTCAACACGATATATAGCCCCCAGAAGGGCACGACCTCGCCCAGAGGGATGGGAAAACTAACTAGACTTCATTTTTATGCGCTACTTCACGATCCATGCCATGGATCGCCGTGATTTACGCTGGCCCGAAGAGATGGAAAAATTACCGGTAGGACAATAGCGAAACTGTACACGTTTTAGAGCGCGTGAGTTGGCCAGAAGAAAAGTTGGCATTGAAAGCAGATCAAAAACAATCAATTTTTTTTTATTGTTATTATTATCAAACTTCAACGCCATTTTTTTCAAGAGT